TGGAGCTCAGCTGTTTGTTTGCATCCTGCCTTGTTTTGCTACTTCCAATTTGTTTTTGCACTGTGTTCTGAAGGGTAGTTCTGAGGTCCTTCAGTGCTTGGAGAACCTGTGCCTCCAAGCATGTAAACCATGAGCCTGCTTTCTGGGAGCCATGACTCTCCAGAAGCATTTTGTACCCCTCTTGAGTCCACTGAATCAAAATGAATCAGGAAGAAACTTATTTACATGCAATTTCCCCTACACTTTAAACACAAACATACCCATCTGCCTGAAAGAGTGATGCTGACAAAATTCAGTGTACTAGGACATAAAAAGAGAATACTGTAGTAAATCAAAATACATTCTCTGACTCAGCATGAAATCTGAAGACTGTAATTCATCATTCTGAGGACAAAACCAGCTGATACAGGCATGTAGTTGTGGGTTGCTTTGTTTTGTTTTTGTTTTGCTTTTTTAAGATGCTTTACTACATATACTGACTGATAACTCAGAAAACCTACATGTTTTAAGCGGCACATGTTCCTTAAATAGAGTTAGGTACCAAAAGAAATACAAAGATGTTTTGGGGGCTGGCAAAATTATAGAACTGGTGTAAATTCAGAGCAGCAGGTATTGAAGGGCAGTTGTAATAAATTAGGGTCTAAGTTTATGGATGGAATATAGTATAGGTAGAGAAATTTTAAAATACACAGTTAAGGGTACAGTAATAAATACATTAATATTGCCTACTATATATAACTTCAAACTACTGTTTAAAATTCCATCCATATATATGTATGTACATATGATAGAAAGATAAGTAAAAATTAAGAGCTTTTTATTTATAGAGAAGGAGCATAATAAGGAAGAAAATTAGAGAGGGTTTATCTATACTATATAGAAATTATTGATGTTGTTTTTATGTATAGAAAACAAAAAGACCAGAAAATACAAAAAGAAAAAACAAGAGCCTACAGAGTTTGATAAATCACTATTTGTTTTGTTTTGACATTTGATGTAAGCAAAAACTGTTGGAACCATTCAAGCCCTTCAAAGATAGAAAGTGAAAGGCTAAAAGTTATTGATTCATAGCGAGCATAAACTGTAGGTCACTTATGAATCATGCAGATCAATATTAAGTGTTGGATTACATTAATTAATTTTGTGCCTAAATTATTTAGTGACAGATTTCAGAAGTGGTTCATTCTTCAGTAGGACCAAATATGAAATCTCTCTAATTCCCACATTTCAATGTTTAGTTCAATTTAAAAGTTTTCCAGAGGTCTGAGTTGGAGGAACTCATTGGAAGCTGAGGATAATAAAGGGAGCACAGGGATTTCCAGCAGCATTCAGCTGAGGAAAGATCCTACTTTGGGTTGAGACATTTTAGCAAGTACAGCCTGCAGGAGCGCACAATGTGACTGGCTTCACTGATTAGGTAAGAAAAAGCTGGCCTGGCAACCTAGGCACTGACATGGATGTGGAGAGATCTGGCAAAGTTGGCTAGTTCAGATAAGGATCCATTTTTCCTCTTGAGACCTTGAACTTCCTTGCATACCTAAACAGGTAATGCCAAAAATCCAGTGAGTTTGGATATGAAGTCCCTGGACTACCCTGGAAAATGTTTTTGACCATGAAGCACCCAGCAAGTCTAGTATTACTGGTGCTGAACAAAACCCCGAGGCACTCGGCTGTAATGAAGCTGAAGAAGCACCTTGTGACTCCAGCTTGAATTGCTGGAATGCAAAAGGAACTATTGTGAAATAAATCTGAGGTCAACCCCAAGAAAGATATCCACCAAGTAATTTTTCCATAGGAAGGACTCTATAAAATTGTACAAATGAACTAGAGTCATACTATATTTTAATTTTAATAGAATTTAAATGCAGGCAAGTTTTTTCTTGTATTACTCTTGAAAGGACAAAATAATTTTCTTTTTTTTTTTTTTTTTTGCCCAAAAATCATAGAAGTGCTGAGGAAAGGGGAAATTCTTTAACTTCCACAGTGTTGAGGAAAGGGGAAATCTTTTTTAATTACCACAGTTCAAGGAAAGTTGTCCATTCTCCAGTTATGAAATTCACTAGAGAACTTTTCAGGTGTTTGAATACATCATTTGCAAGAACTTAGGTGAAAAGTGTTTGGGAATATGTTAATTCAGTTTTGAAACTTTTCTTCAATCAAAATTCTGTAAATAGATTTTAAAATGGAAACAAAACTAAATCAGCTCGTAATCATGCGATATTATGACATGAGAATTTGAGAAAAGCATAGCATACTGAGATACTGGGTTTAAAAGTGTTAACAACCCATATTTATGTGGGTTTTTCATGTTGAAGGGAATACATTAGAGCACTAACTATTGTAGGAGTCTCACCGAACTAATCAAGGTACATGCTCAGTTCCTGCCATACTTGAAATAAACACTATGAGCATTTTAGTATTGGTATTAAGATCTCGTTATGAAAATTTATAGAATGATGCCTCTGTCCGAATTAAGATGCAAATGAGACCATATACCAAAATCAATAGTATGGGTGTTATTTAAAATGAAATGAGAGAGAGACAGAGAGAGGGAGAGAGAAAGAAATAGAAATAGAGAAGAGGTGGGGGGAGAAAAAGAGAGTGACAGAGACATTTATTAGAAAACTTCACTACTCTGCAGACCCCAATGGCATCCCATGGATGCTCTCCATCTTGGCGCTGAGGGTCCCCCGCAAACACGGAGCTCAGTGGGTTGGTACACACTTGGGCTGGGTGGGAATGCCCAGGTACCTGCCCTGGAGGGACAAACCTGCCAGTCCATCGTGATTTAATGACAGCCTGGTTTCAGTGGAGGGAGGGGAGAGTGGTTCCCTGTGGGGCCCGGCCGGAGCCGGTGAACGGCTGCTTGGGAAGGGGCAGGCAGCTGGCTAAGGGACCATGATCAACCTTTCACCAATGCAATACTCGATAAAACTGTCTCTGAGCTGGCAGGTCACCTACCTGCTGATTTCTCAGGTTTATGTATGTTCCTGATCTAACTGAAAGCATTAACCTGTGTGTTGAAATCAAAATTTGTTTTGCTAGGTGCCTAGGCAGCAGTGTGCACGTGGAAGAGTGTGCTGCTTTTTAAATCTGAACATTTTACAAAGATGCAGAAATACAACTATTCAGAGACAAGGCTGGTGTTAAGCACTTGCTGAAATGCTTATCTAAACCAAGACATGGAGGAAACTCTTTAAGATATAGCTGGTACTGAAATTTTCCTGTCTGGTTAAAATTTGGATCTAGGTTGATCAGAGATTGGAGATCCTTGTGCATGGCAGTTTTTTGTTCTCTGTCTTCTCTTGGCCAGTCAGGAGACTAAGATGTATCTACATTTTCCATCTAACTTAGATAAAAGTAAGACAGGAAGCGAGAGGAACTGAAAAGTGATCCTCCATTTGGACATGCCAGATGTGAAAAGAAGGTTGTGATGTTTACTCAGGATTTTCTCCTTGCCAAAAGATACTTACATACAGACAATTAGATGTCCCAGCAGCATATGATTAGAATTTGTGATGGCATTTGGATGTCCCTTCTAGACCTAAGAAACTTAATGTTGCCTCTGGCTTCTGTGTCATAAAATTTAAATTAGAATCTCTAATTCTTTCAGAGTGCCAGAAATATTTTGTAAACAGTATTTTGCAGTGAAAAGCCTGGGCTTTTGGGATCTTGAGAAGAGCTATTTTTAGACAATCTGTGTCTAAGTCAATCTTTGAGAAGGATATATAAAAAACTGAGGAAATATGAACTGCCTCCTTAGCAAGTGAATTCTATCATATTAAATAAAATGTAGTGAAAGTGAGTAAGAACCAGTGCCATTAAACGGAGATCTCGGGCTCATGTTGCAAAGCGTAGAATTGTCTACTCTAAGTAAATATGAAACTCTGTGCTCAAATACATACTAGCCTTCAGTTTCAGGTACATCAATTTAACGCATTTGACAGCAAAAGCAATTTCCTAAAATTTTTTACTGCCTCGTGTAGAGGTTTTGGTTTGCTAATTGTTCAATTTCCTGGCTAATGCACCAATTATGTAGTGGGTCCAGTGTTGCCTAAACACCAGTGCACTCGCTGGAATATATTTACACATTTTTCTGCTGTGAGATGAATTAGGAGAAAGAAGGTAAAAGAGGCACAAACTTTAAAGAGTACAAATAAAACTTTACTAACAGGAAAAATCTTTAAGAAAAAAAATCCAGGATGAACCCTCAGAACACTTCTCCCCATTCCACACCTTCTTTTCTTTTCCACTAACAACGTAAGACAGAACTTGGGACTTTCAGTCAGTTTACCACCTCCTTCAATCTACTTAGAGAGAGGAGTCCCTCTTGCTATGCTATGGAGACTTTTCCATAAGAAACAGTTTTCTCATGGCCTTAATGTCACAGCACATCAGCCACCCAGGAAAGGAAAGTCTATTTGCAGTGTGAAAAGTCCTTCTCATGCTTTGCAGCTTTCCCACAGCTGCTGTCGTGGGCCGTGTCAACTTATTGGGGTGCTATTTTAAGGATGAGCAGTTCTAGCACAAAATAAAAAAGTTCTCTTCATCTGTCTCTGGGAACAGAGGTTTTGCTATTACTATCCCAGGAGCAAAGTTTCTCATCTCTCTCTGTTCAAGTTTCTCACTGGATTAAAACAACATCTACTTGCTTCAATACTGGTGCTTTAGCTCACAGTTGGGTTAGAACTCAACATTCCCCCATAGCATTTCTATGAGTTACAGCGGAAAAAAGTCTCATGTATCAATTATATCTTCTCTATAATCTTACAAAAAGAATTTCAGCCTAAGACTAAGGTAGCTCCTCAATCTCCTCCTGTCTAGAATTTTTACTCCTTTTTCACTGACCTTAGAGCTCCGTGTTGTTGCCTCTATGTGTCTTCACCATTTCTTTTTCCTGATCCAGGAGAGAATCGGTGCTCTTAAATTAATTTGTTCTCAAGCTTTCTCAATTGAAAGAGTTTTTATAGAGTTCTGTACTGCTGAATGGTTGAACTCACCCATGCTCCACAATCGAGGAACTGCTGTCTTTTGCTGCTGACCACGTTGTCCTCGCTGGCACTGCACAAGCCGCGCTGGCTGCCGGTGCCATCCTGCGTTTTCCCTTCAGGACAAAGAAAGAAAAAACTGCTGCTGCTGCTTTTGCCCTTCAGTACACAGCACAGAGCTAAAAGCAGCTGAGCAAAGTCTATTGAGTCATGCCAAGATAGCCGTGGCCATGCGGTGCCGTCCTGGCCACTCCGATCCCGACCGCCCGACCACGCGGCTGCTCCTGGTTTAGGACGGTGGCGGCCACATGGCCACTCCAGGCCTGGGCCTCCTGTGGCTTTGGGGCCACTCCTGGCCCCAACCTCTCTCAGCTTTGGGGCTGCTCCCAGCACCAACTGTGGGGCCATTCCTGGTGCTGGTCCCTGGGCTCCCTCGGGGAAGGAGCCCCAGCCGCCCGCCGGGATCTCCCCGGTGAGGGGCTCCGAAGCCGCCCACCACCGCTCCAGGGGCTGAAAATCCCACCTGGGCCTCGTGGCGGCTGCCCCGGCCTGTTCAAAAACCGGAAGTCATGAGGGCTTTTCCCAGCCTTTCTTCATTTTTAAATGCGCTGCTCCACAGGGGCATTCGCCTTTTTTTCTTTTTTTTTTTTTAATAAGTGATTTAACCAGGTGTCAATCTTTAAAGTGAGTCAACTAATTGGCTCTTCTTAAACTAGCCAGCTGACTGGCTTCAACAAGTCCCTAAGGGACCCTTTCCCCCCCCTCCTAGCTGAAAACCAGGCTTCAGTTAAGCCACGACGCCTTGCCTTCTCACAAAGCTACCTCACACACTTATGGAATGGGCTGGGTTGGAAGGGACCTTAAAGATCATGCAGTATTTTAGATTACAGTCCTGATGAGCTCTGTTAGGAATCCCTCAAAATTAAACTAGATCAAAATCATAGCTTATGACTCCAGCTAGTGTGAAAATTGGTAGGATAACTCCTGACTATTTCTAAAACCCTTTTTTTTCCTGCTTAAGTATGGAGTAATATTGTTTGTTAACACTAAAAGCAACTAAAATATCTGTTCACAGTCTTTTATCAGAATTTAAACAAAAACTTAAATTTGGCTGGGCTTATTTTGTTTCCTCTCACACTTCTTAATTACTAAAATACCTTTGTTACTTTTGACATGAAGTAATATATTAAGGTATATTTCTGCTTTGAAACCTTATGCTCCATATTGTATGGCTTTATTTTATGTAGTTCATATAAAGTTCTATATAGGCTGGACACTGTCTTCTCTGTTAAGTAGAGATAATTCCCAGTTGAAAAGGTAGACTAATTTCTTATGCCAGCTAGGGGAAAAATTAGCCTCCTAAAGGAAAAAAAAAAAAAAGCAAACTAAAGGGAAAGGCAGATAATCACTTTCAACTGAAAAACTGGTTGAACTGGAAAAAAAAAAAAGTTGGATAATTTGGCAATATATTGTAATGAGATGAATGAAGCATGTTCCTCTGAAGAGGAGAGGGAAGATGAGTTCAAAATTAAACACCGGATCAGGTGTAAATGAAGACTTTTCTTTAGTGAAAGTACAATCCATTCGCTCTTATTTTAAAAATTCAGCTTTGTTTCTGTGTTTTCTGGATTCAATTTTGTAGCTTCTGTCCAGGGATAGTTAAGGACGTTTAGAGAGGCTTAAATACATTATCCCTGGAGGAAAAGAAATATGTGCAGTAAAGGGTGTGTTTCTGGTACGAATGTTATATAAAATCATCTCTTTTATATGCAGTGCCCACTGTAAAATTATAATTGTGTGGGAAAAAAATGGTCTCTTGAGAGAAGACATCCTGCTTCCACCCCAGGAAATTTAATAATGAAGGTAAATCTGCAATCAATAAATCCAATGTATGTGTATGTATCTATAGATGTTAAAAAATGCTTGGGACAACAATAAACCTAAAAACCTCCTTAGTCATGTTTGGGCTTCTTAACTGAAACTTGAGTATTAAAATATTTTCCCTCCACATGTGGCTTAAAAAGGTGATGAGAGAGAAAAGCTAAAATGAAAGAGGAAAATAGAGTTTCAAAAGCATTCCTCCAAAAGACAAAAAGAAGAAAGACTCACGAGCTGACAAGGCTGACCTCACAAGTTACTGTTTGTCATTACTGCTAACTGATTACAAAAATTAACGTTAAGCATTGATGTATTCTGCAGTTCCTATTTAGGTCATAACCTTGTAGCAATGACTTTCACAGACTAATTGCTATATGTAAAGGGAAGATAAAGAGAAATTTTGCATTTTCTTTTTTAAAAAAATTGTCTGACTGGGCCTCTTTTTCAAGAAAAGGTTTGTGGTAATTAAACTATTTATATTTTAAGTCAGTTTTTTATGATTCAGGAGTTATTCCTTGCCCTGTCACTCGGATATAGAGACTAAGCACATCTGATTACATCTTTTGCTTGTCTCTGAAATAATCAGCTATCATGTGCTCCTTTTGAAATGAAGACCCTTGAAGTGAACACAATATACCAATTGAATACAAATTTGATTTTGTGATGGCTTTATGCAATCTTTCACTTTATTCTACTCCCTTTCTTATGTAGATGAGCAATGTATTGCTTTTTTAACTGTTACAGTATACATTGAACAGTATTACTGTTTCAGAAGTGTTTCATTTGGCATTCAGACATTTTCAGAACTCTGAGTGACTTTAATGTGTTAATAGTTCATGTGTAAATGCTCCTTCCCTGCAACTAGTTTTCTTTTATTTCTTTTATTTCTTCCAAGAAGTTGTTTCCAATAGTCATTCCCAATCTTCTCAAGAATGTACAAAGTATCTCATACTCACTTCATTTCATGTGGTAAACATAATTTCATGGATAGGATATTTTCCTAGTCTAGTCAGAGTCCTCTGAGAAATCCTGCAGGGCAGAGTTTTTGGACTCATGTTGTTCTATATGTGTGTTGCTTTAAAGTTGTCATTGTGTAGAAATATATCTCCAACTAGTTATTTGGGGTGATGATCTTTTTCCATCTGAGCTGACACCAGGGAAGCAATTTCTGGCTTGATTAGGTGCTTACAAGACTTTCAAGTTGGTTCCTTGAGCATGACCTGTATTCAGGCTCCCCTGCCTTCCAAATAATGTTCTGGGCTCTGTACTGCTCATGGATGGCATCCTGAAGCGGCCTGCTATCATGGTGCAAGACCTTTTAGTTATTTCAGGTTCTGAAATCTCTTTCAGTAACCTTCCTATTTTGGGCAGATGGACCTTAGCCTGTTATTTGTAGATCTCTAATGGGGTTGATGGGAGGGGTGAGCTTGGTCAGCCATGCCTTGGTAAGCCTGTGAGTGATGTGACACGTGGAGGAAAGAATTTTGAAAAAGGGAAAGTAAAATTCAGCTGGGAGCTGGTTTTTACCTGCTGCTGAAGGAAACATTCTTCACATCAGCTGCTGCCCTCCTGAAGCCAAGTAAGGCAACATGGGGAACCCTTTTCCAAAGAAAGAGGATTCACTCATAACCTGATGTTTGATTTCCTATGCCCTACAGATAGTTCTGCACAGGTGGGCTTGCTTGGGTTCAGCAGGAGGGCGAGACTGATAAATGAATTAGTGCAACTGGCCAGCTGAAGGTTGCACACCAGAATTCCTGTTAATGCAACTCCACATTAGTATGTAGTTGAAGCCTGAAAAGAAAAGCCCTTCAATAAATCCACTAAGAATAGGGGAAGCAATGATAGAAGTAATCCATTCAAGATTTTACACTTTTATCATGTTCAAAATCATACTTTCGGAATCTGATGGAATTTTTTTAATCTCCATAGATCAAGCACTAAACATTTTTGTTTTCCTTGGTACTGGAATTTTTAACTTCTGTGTTTTGCTCATGGATATTGAGGGAGGTGGTTTTTTAGGGATCTTAAATGGCTGCTACCATAATGCATAAATCTGTGACAAGATACAGCATAATTTCTTTTGAGGCATATGCAATTTTTTAAAAGCCTTTTAAGGAAAGAAGTCTACTGATTGCATTCCATAACTATGAAATGTCTTGCATAAAATATCATAAACATGGAAACTTCTTGCATTAAAAGATGGTAGTATATGCAGCTGCCTCTAGTAAAAGACACAGCTATGCCAATGGCATAAATACTACTTCAGTAACTGTTAGAAGCGTACTTTGAAAAACATAGCTGAATAACATTATATTATTTTACTAGTTTTTTGATGTAGGAAAACATTTGTAGCAACTAAGTGTTAAATTTGAGGAGGAGGATGAAATCTCACTGTCTATTGAGGTCTTGACAAAAATCAATGAAGAAAAATAAATTCTTGCTGCTTTAAATCAGAATGGGAATCTGGTTGGCATGATTGTATTAGGGGAGCCTCCACCCTTCCTGTCTGTTCAGGGCTGACAGAAAACTGCCTAGAGCACAGGTGATTGCTGTATATTCACTATTTTGTGTTTTCTTGTGGGCAGTGCAAAGTTCCATCTTCTGATGCAGTTCCCCTTCTTTTTTTTAATTCTTCCCTCCCTCCTCCAAACACCACTGGGAAACTAGCTCGGAAAAAACATCAGTCTTTAACCTATAAGCAGCTTCTTCCTAATGTCTCTTTCCTAAAAGTAGTTAAAGCAAAATTATGCTTTTCCCAGCACAGGAGTTGGAAACATCCTCAAGGCATAATTGAGGCTGTAGCCCCTCATTCAGGACTGTCTAGTGCCTGTGAATTGCTTGCCCTTCTTGGGATTATTACTCTCAGTAAAAAATTTCTCGTGAATCTGTCTGTAGAGTGTCACCGTAATAATAAATATGCACTCCTAACTTAATATTGTGAACTGATTTTGTGCAAATTTAATTTAAATGTAAGGCATCAGGATCATTATTAATTCAGAAAGAAAATCATGTGTGTTAGATTCTTTTAATGTGACATTATTTTACAGAGTTAAGGAAATGGTGATTGTAGGGGTTATTAATGCCTAGGTTGTAGTCAGTGTAGCAATTAAAACATGACAATTATATACTGTGGGTAAGACATTCAGCAAGTGCATCAAAAAAGGAAAATTCAGTGTGAAAACACACATTGTCTTTTGATTTCTGGATAAGTTGAATTCGGGGAAGGTAAAAAAAATCTTCATATAGAAGAATATATATAAAAAAAAGTGTTCGACAACTGCAGTGAAATAATCTGTTAAACATGACAGACTGAAATCATCATCACACTGATTAAAAAAGGAAAAAGGAAAAGAAGTACTGCTCTCTCAAGGCTTCCATCAGCTTGGGCTAACTTTGAAGTACATCTAGAAAATAGGCCTTATCCTTCTTTGAGCTGAACCAGAAGTGTTACAGAAATAGCTTTGGATCAGATAGTTGAGGGGCAAACTTAAATTTTAAGAGATTTGTGGTTTGAAGTAAGACTGTGACTGTGTTCCATTTCTGGCAGTGGTCAGTATCTTGATTATTTCTCTACTTATGTTATCATAGTTTGACTGTGTGAGTGCTGTCATTTTAAAAAGCCAAAATTATGCAAAAGAGTTGAGTGGGGAATGTTTCTGCTCTGAGCTTTTTTGTGTCTTTGGAACAGAGCAGTTAATAGAAACGGGTGGTGGTATAGTAGACATTTAAAATACTGATAGCTGTTTAAAAAAATACTTTCTTGTCAGTTTGCTTTTTCACACAGAACCACAGAATATTCTAAGTTGGAAGGCACCCACAAGGGTCATCAAGTCCAACTCTTGAAAGTTTTGTACATTTTCTGCCCATTTTGTACAGTTTCTACACCGTGCATTGAGTTACCACTTAATCATTTAATGTCATTAATGCCACTAATGTCATTATGTTGATCTGTGTTATTTAGGTATTAGAAAATAATGAATATAAAAAGTCATTGGTGAAACACATAAATTAATGTCATTCTTCATATTATGATAGGAGAGTTTTGAGATGAAAAGTACACGTGTAAACAGAGAGCTGTGTGGCTTTTCCTCTTTTAGTAGACATCCATGTGTTATTCTGATCTCTGTTTTAAGTTAAAGTTTCTATCAGACTGGATAACCTTTCCACTGCAGCTCATCAATGTATATTACTTATGCACTGTACTTCTTCGATTACACTGGAATATATTCTTTCCCTGGGAATATCAAGAGCTATGTAATTAAGGAATAGCATGCAGGTGAATGACCTAGATATTTCACAGTACGCAACTGGGAATAAACAGATGGTTCTCATGTTTTGGTGCATTAGCAAACAGAGAAAATAAGCTTTCATGAGAATCTTTCATCTAAATCAGGTGAACAGGTACACATCAATATTTATTGCAATTGGATGTAGTGGTTTACACTTGACAGAGTACCATAACAATATTTAATTTAGAATAAGTATTTCTTGGCATTGTCAGGATATTTTGTTTTACCTCTCTGTGAGTCATCTTCTGAGATCACTGTCTCACATCAGGAACCGGTGGCCTGGAAATCCTGAAAGCAATGGCAATGCATGACCTGCACCTGGAAAACAATCATCTAATAAGAGTACCAATAAAATACATTATAAAGTTTTCTTCAAAAGTGAAAAGGTAGAATGAAAAATTTACCTGTATCAAACCTGATAACGTATTTAGATAAATCTGATGGCGTAAGGTTTATGTGAATAAGTAAGTAGGAAAAAAAAATGACATTCTGATTTCAGTGCAAGCTGTGGCTACAATTTCTGCTAAGGAGGATTTTTGCCTTTTTTCTTGAGGAGGAGTGGTCAAACTTCAGTGGAAAGCTGTGTATCCGTAGCCAAAATAACTTTAAGAATGACTTCACAATTGAACTTTTATCAGTTGTGCACGTTTAGAATGTATGTAGTGCAGGCGCTAAGAAAAATCTTATTTGCACTGTTAGAAATAAACTCAACTTTTGGTACAGTGAAGTGGGGACAAAGTCTTCGAAGGAAAAGAAAATTGTTTTCGTATGAGTCAGCAGAGCCCAGTCCCTGTCTCTCCTCCATGAGCTGAACACAGACAGACCGCAACAAAATGACAACTTTTTATACCCTTTCCCAGCCAGGGGTGGTTCCTGTCCCCTTTTCCATTGGATAGGTGTAGGATTTGTAATTTTCTCTTCTTTCTCCCCCATTGCCTCTCCCCCCTTCCCGCGCGTTCCCCCTTTGTCCTGCGTTCCCTTGTCCTTCCCCCTCACCATGCGGTCCTTTGTCCCGACCGTGCGTTCCCTTGTCCTTCCCCCTCACCATGCGGTCCGGGCCGCTCCCATGGCTGTCCCCGGGGTTTCCCGGCCCCTGTCCCCTGCCTCCCGTCCCGTTGGCCGCGGATGATGTTCCCCCCGCCTTTCCCATTGCTCTTCCCGGGGTTTCCCGGCCCCTGTCCCCTGCCTCCCGTCCCACTGGCTGTGGATGATGTTCCCCCCGCCTTTCCCATTGCTCTTCCCGGGGTTTCCCGGCCCCTGTCCCCTGCCTCCCGGCCCATTGGCCGCGGATGAGGTTCCCTCCCGCCCCCGGCACGGGCTATAAGTGAGAGCCCCGCTCGGTGCCCCGGTGTCTCGGGAACACGCTCACACAATAGGCACGTGTCTGCACCCGAGCCCTGTGTCGCCATTTCGTCTGTTCCCGCGTGGACTGAGCCTCGCAGAGCCGAAGGGGGAAAGCGGCCGCCGCCTCTCGTCCCCTCCTCGCCATGCCCGCAGGCGTCCGCCCGGAGCCGGTCTCGCACGGCAACAGATACGTATCAGGAATTTACGTTCTCTCCTGACTGCCTGCTTTTGTCTCCCTTCTCATCCTCCTTCCTTTCTGGTCCTCTCTTCAACCCTGCTCCTCTCCCAGCTCAGAGCAGCGCCCAACAGATCAGCCAGAACACGTCCAAATCATAGATAACAGCAGATAGGCAGCCAACAGCTTTCATTCTTTTACTCAATAATCATTTCTTTGGCTGCAGCAAAGTGTTATTTCATCTCTCACAGCATGAGGACTAGAAAATGAGTGGAATGCTGTAATTTAGATGAACAAGTTGCTTGCAAGCTAATGCAGTGCAGGATGGTGGACACAGAAGTGTATATTGGTGCATTATGTCCTTATACTCTCTTAAGAGGGATTAACTTCCAAAATTAGGCATACTGTACACTTAATATTGAAAAAGGTGCCCGTTCAGACCGATGCAGCCTAAGGACTGCAAGCCAAGATTTCTTTGATTCAAGTCTCATATGTGACCCAGAGAAAAAAGTAGTTTGAGAAGTTGACATGGCAATCTGAGGAGGGTCTTTTTTTTCAAATCAAGGGGCAGTAGATTTGTATTTATCTATTTTGCAAGGTCCAGTTTTAATAACTTTTGATGGGTTCTTCTAGTGTATTGTCTAATTTCACTACTGAACTTGTATTCTGCACATCCTCAGCTCTTTGTTATGTTTTTATCCCAAGCAGGAAGTGAAGGCCATAATTCTCAGCATCATTTACTAACTGTGACACTTGGAAAGCTTTGAGGGCACAAAGCGAGGTATTGATGCACCTTGGGGAACAATTTTAGCAAGTATACCTTTCTCTTCAAAATACCTATTGCTACTTTAATGTATGAACTGTATTAACGGCATGAACCTTCAAATCACTTTGAAGGTTCATACAGTTTGGATTGTTTAGAGAGGCTCTGTCATTGACAGATTCATGAATTTATGTTTTCCTTGCTTATCTCCAAATCCCACAAAGAGAACTTAAAATAACTCTCCATTTAGCGCTATTTGTTGTACCTGTTGACTCTTCATACTCTGCCTGCTTTTAGGAAGCTGGAGTTTGTTTGAACACCTGGTCTATCCAATTTCCTGCAGCTCCTGATTGCTTTCTCCTCTACTGGTTGACGTGGGTAAGCCTTTAATGTAACCTAATATAGGTCTGGCACAGATAAAGGTTTGGTGTTTTAATGTTTGGTTGAATTGTACAAAGGTGTGGTGGAACTTTGAGGGGGAAAGGAAGTGTGTCTGTTCTTAATGTCATAGCATTTAATCTGCTTCACTTGACCCTGTGAGCTTTTTTTTTCTCTTCAAAAAGCATGGAAGGGATCCTCTCCTGAGCTTCCTCCACTCTGGTTAGGACCTGGGTGAGCCTTCATAGATGCACTAAGTCAGAGCACCAGTCCCATTGAAAATTGTGCTGTGAACCATGGCCAAGACACTTTCAGGTCTCTTCTAAGTGACCTGGGAACCATCTCTCACTTGCAGAATAATTTAGTGTGTTTAAAGTCCCTGGACAGGCCAATAAAAAGATGAAAGTGCAGTTACATGGGTACTGAAGTCAGCCTAAAAAATGCAATGGTATGGTTCTGTTGCTTTCCATTTTTTCCTTTTCTCTCCTCTTTCTCTCTTACAGCTGCGTGTGTAGTGCTCCTTGATGGGTGGTAAACAGGTTCATCACACAATTATGGATAAACAAAGTTCGAATCTCTGCTGAACTAGTTAACTTTATTTTGAAGCTAGATATTTAGTTCAGCTGAATGTCTTACTAAATATTCTGAAATGCTTTAAGTAGTGAAACTAGCCCAAGCTTGGCACAGAGTTTGTTAAGAGTATCATTAGAGTGTTTCTTGATTTTGATCAATTGGCAAACAAACCTCTAACCTAATGGCTAAATTTAGCAAAATTCCATTTTATTACTGTGGAGCAGAGTTTTTTCCCATCCTATGAGCCTTTCATTTGCTAGTTTTTGATTATTTTTTCCTTAATTTCTTTTTGTCTGGTTAATGGATTGATTTCAATGGGTTTGTTAAGGGGCTGTGTCAGTGGAAATTTTGATGCCCAAATCCTATATATTGCTTGTGTCTAACAGGAAAAAAAAATTACCTCTGTCTGAGATTTTGGTTATTGGTGATGTTGGCCATCAATCTTAATAATATCATAACTCCAATTTTTGCACAATTTTAATAAAAGGAATGCATTCAGTCTCTTGGAGTGGTTGCAAAACCAATTACAGAAATGTCAGAATTTCCACAGGAAGGTAACCTTCCTCTTAGCAGTATCAGGTGAACAAAACAAACTGATAGTGATTAAAGTGTCAGGATATAATTGCATTTGCTTTCAAAAAACCATCAACTCTCAATAAATAATTAAAACAAGTCATGTTTCTCAAGATGCTGCAGTTGAGGATCTTTTATTAAAAAGTGCTAGGAGCCATTATTAGATTTTTTTAAATGATAAGTTTTTTCTTAATGTCAGATTTTATTACTTTGCTGTTCTTTGGGGTATATTTTCTTTTCCCCAGGTTTACTGGGAGAGCATAACTTGTGTCACAAGCTGTAATGAGATATGCTCTCCAAGATGGTTTTACAAGGAACACGTGAATGTCGACTTAGGAATGGTAAGTAAATTTTAAAATCAGTGTCCCATGTCGACTTAGGAATGGTAAGTAAATTTTAAAATCAGTCTCCCAAGACCTATAACATATCTATGTAAAGCTTTGACATATAAATTAAAGAGCGTCTCTATATTTTTTTCCGATATTTTCTCTAGCTAATTGTGTACTCCCTGCTGTCTTAATAAGACATTCAGTTTTAATAAACAAAATAAAACCCAGAGGGACAAGGGAGCCATGAGAGTGGACTGTGTCAGTCTGCTCATTGGTGATGATAGAATATGAACTAGATAAAGGTTTATTGACTTGAAGAATCCAGGGGCATTTTGTGGGAATAACAGGTGATTTCTTAAACTTCTGACTGCCTTAGTAAACATAGTAGATTATGTACCAGAGTGTTGTTTTATTGTGTTTCAGGATAGAAGCAGAGATTTAAAAATATGATATTCATATTTTTCTCTTAAGCCTCCTGAGTTTTTTTGGGCTAGTGCTTTGATTTTTTTTTTTTTTTTTGTCTGATCTAAGCGGGTTGCACAGTCTTCTCTGTAAAGGCCGGAAACTGTTGAAAAGATAATTTTTTATCTCCAGAAACTGAAGTTTAAACATGAACCTTAATTTTTCATTTGCCTAATTAAAATCTGTCATCCAATTAAATCTCCAAAACAAGTATAAATTAAATGAAAACTGAGTAAAATATTCTGTAAGACAAGTAATTAGCAAATCTTGTTGCTGGTATGAATAAGCACATAAGTTTCTCTGAGGTTTCAAACTAACCAAAGGTTAGACTATGCTAGACAAAGTTCTCTATGTAATACAAATTTTAAATGGGATTTATAAAGGTGTGTAAGGAAAAAATAACCAAATTTCTTCCAGCTTTTGGTATTTTTGTAAAGGTGTACATAAGGAATTTACAGATTCTTAAGCCTGGGGTGCAGTGGTCTTGCAAAATGAAACAAACATTTTAAAAAATAACAAATGCAAATGGGGCAAATGTGTTCAAAAACCTCCCTGTGGATGAAGGTTGTTGCTTTCCTTTTCCAAACCACAGCTTAATTTTGCATTCTCACACTAGTACTTTATCTTTGCTTCTCTCTTTGTATGCTGGTGGGATAAAGTTGATGCTCTCCTTAGAAACTCTTCTACTTTCATTAAGTTTTAGGAAAGTGTAGTGGATGCTAGTGATCAATGCACAGCATGTGATACCAATGACTCTTCTACTTTTAAATCCCTTTTTTAATGTAGAAGAGTAGTAATACCTGCTGTTCTAAGCATGACAGATTTGATCCTCTTGAGTGTAAAGGTTTGCTGAGGTCTAATTCCCACTGAGGTCCAATGACAGTACCCTTCAGAACAGAAATATTCCTTGGAAGATTTAATTTATCCCACACTGGGGCTTTTGGGTGCTAGGCAAAGAGCAGCTGAAAGAAGGTCCTGAATAGTACAAGCATGTTCCTGATGGTTTTAATTCACTTTTGCTAAACCCAAGTAATTTTGAATGTCACTACACTGGGGTGCTATTGCAGTTGGCACACAACAGTATGTGCATTGCAGACCTCTTGCCACATGTATATTCTTCCCATCTGCCCTCTTCTAGTAATGGTTCCTGCTGAGAGCTTTTTCTTTTCAACCTTTTCATCTTTTTCTGGATTTTTAGAATATATATGCCCATCAATGTGTCTGTCTTCAAATAAAGTGTCTCTAACAAGAAGTAGGCTTATTAATGCAATTTAATGCTTTGAGGAACTAAGTATCTGCATAATGATATTCGGTAAAATACATCCTTTTAACTGCTTCTGTTTTTTTCCTAGACTGTTTAGAGTTAGTAGGTGTTATTGTAGAGGACCATTTGCCTGAACATGTTATACAAGACCAGTTATGGATGCTTCAAATACTGATTTATATTTTGAGCAGTTTTGGCTGAAATGTGGAAAAAAAAAAACTTTAAAATGTTGGAGTT